TTTTGTTCACTTAAAATTGATTATTTTGTGTTACAATATGAGGGTTTCCAACTAGGAAAGAGTTTTAGTGGAACTGAATCAATGACCAGTGGAAGCAAGTTTTAATTTGGCTCATTATATATCAATAACCAAGTAAACTAAGATACCATATGCTTCAGTAAGCTAAGGCTGTGTGCAAGCTCAAGGAGGGGGTGGATAGCAGAGGTGGTTAGGATTAGCTAGTAAACTAGAATATTACTGCTGCTCAAGCTATTATGTTACCCACCCTATTGAAGGTGACATACTGCAAAATCCAGCTGTCATCAACAACCACTTGCTCCTGCAGGGTGTCTGTAAAACGCGGACCGGATACCTGCGGATGGCGGATGCGGATGGAAAAATGCGGACAGCACAAGGCGGATGAAAAAATGCTGATAAACCAAAAAACTAAGAATAAAACGAGAAAAAGCAGATAGCAAAAGAGAAAAAAACTGGCAAACAAACACAAAAAGAAAAGAAATCTTTCTTTCAAGTGGATGTCATCTGGTTGGGCCCTTCATGTACAGAACAAGTTGTCATTAGTTGGCACAGGTTACCCAAGGTTCTTTTCTCTATTCTTTGAAACCTGTAGTGCCTTTCATTAATATCACAGAAACAATAACGCTCCGTTCCTCCTCCTTAGAACCACTGTCAAAATAATCATGTATTCGCCTCTTTTAGAAGCGGGCCGAGAGGTAGAAAACTAATTTCAGTAAGTAATCCTTTTACCCAAAGCAAAAACCGAATCTTTCTGATTCTAGTTTTAAATATAAAACCGTTTCATCGCTTTTAAATCTCTCCGGGAATCACTTCATTGTGCTCAAGGCGGTAATTAAAAAGGCATCCACACTGTTCTGGTTAGTCAAGACTAAATAGAGGGGAACTTTTAGCACAAAAAGGTTGCCAACATAGGAGTGACGGGGACTAGCCCAGTTCCACTGACAAACAAGAATTCATTGACTTCTCTTCGTTATCTTCTTTCTTTAATTCTCAATCTTAACCAAAGTTTATTACATGCAGTTCAATCTTTAGTTTCAACTCTATATAGTCTAAGCTATCCCTGGACATTTGAGCGAGTAACTAGCTAAGGAGTGTGGAACCAATCAGTAAGAATTGTAATTTTGCGATAATATGCATAGAAAAACTGGAAACAAGCAAAAATATTTCTATTTTTTGTAACAAAAAAAATTTAGGACGTATTTTGTGTTGTTTTTTTTTTTTCATACATTGGCTTATAATGAAATCCCACAGAGTTTGGGCTACCTGTGTATCAACCAGCAAAAAAGGAGGAACGCAAGTATTGGCACATGTCAGCTCATGTCAATCAACTCCGCCTATCGTGTGACTGCATTTTTCTACCTTGGGAATTTGTAGACGGCACATTATGAATCCCAGTTTTAAGACTGCAAAATATACTGTCGATTGATAAGAAAAAACCGACTTGATCAATCAAAAAGGTTATTTTCCGAAAAGGTACTGGACAAAACAAATTGCCTAATCTGTAAACTGAACTAAACTCCGCTCCCGCAAAAAAAGTGTCAATAAAAGTGAAACGCATTAATAAAGGCTACCTTCCGTATGTTTTATTCGTCTTTCTTTTTAATTTTCTCCTACCAAAATAGTTTCCAAAAAATATCCTCAGTGATATTTTAGAACGTCTGTCAAGCAATCCAAAACTTGCCTCATAAAATTGAAACGTGAAGGCCAGAATTCGGAATCGAAAATATATGATATCTGGATCATTTGGACAGCTCCCGACAATCTGCAGTAACCAAAGCTTAAGGAGGCTCGCTTTAGTACAAAGATGTTTAATCATTACAAATTAGAAAAAAGAGTCTGACACTGTATTGTGAGGCTTTTCAAGACCAGGCTCCTTTATGGGAAAACAGAACAATTTACGACGCAAAGGCACGCCGAAATTTTAATTTTTTTTTATTTATTTTGTCTTATTTTCTCAATTTTTTTTTTTTTTATCTAAGGAAATACCGTCTTTTTTTCTTCAAAAATTAAAAGTTGTCTGAAGACCTTTATGTACGTGCTTGGCTCCTTGATGGTGGGTACCAAACTATCATTTATAATAGACAAAAACATGCTTTAGTAATGCAATTTATTTGTCCAAATTAGTGACATTTTTGGTTGTTGTCACTCTCCACCGCAATTTTTTAAACCAATATTTTTTCCATCCGCCTTTTACTATCCGCATTTTTCCATCCGCATCCGCCATCCGCAGGTATCCGGTCCGCGTTTTACAGACACCCCCACCTGCAGTATGATGCAAAAAAGACTACTCTAGGCTATTAGTCATTTTTTATGTTATTTATGAACACCTCAGTTGTCCATAACATTGTCAATAAATCTACACTACACCAGTTTTCATATAATTTATATGCCTAATTTTAAACAGTTTCTTAAAAGTTTTCTTGTATTTTAAAACTTTTAACACCAAATTGTTGAGAACAATGTGCTCCCTTATTGAATGATCAAATAAATAACATAATTATTTATGAAGAAAAATTGTGCAACAACCGGACTGTTAGGATGAGAGAATATGTTCTAGCAACATATTTGTAACACGTCGGCCACAGAGCCTTTCCTTTCACAGCCTAATTCTTACTGTTAAACTAAACACTATCAGAGGGCCTCCAGAATTATCTGAGCATGATTAAAGCATGCAGCCCAACTTATGCATGCAGCCCAAAAGATTCATAAGCCATTCAGTTCTGGCTTTGTGCACTGACATCAGTACTCCAACGAATAAGGCTTGACACAGAAAATTATCTTGACCTATTAGTATAGGAAAGGAGATGTACGTTCAGCAGAAAAAACAATAAAAATTAAAAGAAACAATAAAAAACAATAAAATTAAAAGCACATTGTAATAAACTTATCACGGACATATCATTTCTGTAATGTAGTCCTTGAGCTTGATTTCCTCTCTTACTGTAGCACTGACGAATATCCAGAGGAATTAGACAGACTGATTAGATTTAATAATGCCACACAAGTGTAGATTGCTCAATTTTTAACTTTCAAGCTATGTTAGCAAGGGCTAACCATTCACTCCCCCACTCAGGTTCCCCAAATATGATGGTCAATACAGAGGCAAAATTAGCCCACAACGAAGGCAAATGTTCTTTGCCAAGGCTCGTGGTTCTCGTAAAAACTTCTCAAACATGACCTTCAATTCTCTTCTTCGCTGATATTGCATTGCATTCAATTGCTAACAAAACAGGATTGTCGCGATCGACGTGAACCAGACACAGATTTCATGTTTGCAGTTCGAGAGGGCAGGAAGTAAAATGTTATGCGCAGTAGATTATACTTTTAATTTTCTCTACGCATTCAATTCCCTTTAGCCAATGAAAAAATTCGTATTTGACTTGCATCCAGAGCCACTGGTTCATTACAAATTAAGCAGAGTGTCTCTGGGAACGAGAATGGGCTGCCAAGTATAAAGGAAGAAGAGGGAAAAATTTCTATATATATTTCGCATTTTGTGGCATTAACGCGAGAAACTCAGCACTATATTCCCTATCATCAAAATAGATAAAGTCAAGTTCGAACCGTATTTCAATCGTAAGCAATGCGGGGAAAAACCTGTTTTAGACGGTGACAATTTACCTCATAAAATAGCCACACCTTCCTCTCAATATCCCTACCTTCATGGTTCCTTACTTCTGCAGTGTGACTTCTGCTACAAGGAAACGGTTGCACCGATTCGCTTCCCCATCAGCATATCCGGAAGATAAGACAATAAACTTCACAAAGCAGTTGTTTTCCACGGTGCCTTTTCAATGTGGAAAGAGGTATTTTCCAGGAATACGAGAAACGAGAAGATGCAGCCATTACTCACGCAACAATGCTCCTTCGAGCGTTTTGTTGTGATTTCACTGAGGCCGCCATTTTCTTTCAACATGTTTAAGAGGTCATAGCGGTCAGTGGTATTTCCTATAACAACGGTAGGTGCTTCATATATTCTAGAAAACGCCAAAATTCGAAAAAACAGCGGGATTTTGGAGGGATAGGAATTTACGCCATGTCAGACAACCACACTGCCCCAGAAAATTCTTTTCAACCTTGGAGAATTTGCTCAGTAGAGACATCGTTAGCATATGCTTTTATTCTCATATTCTCATGAAATCTGCAGTGCGGCAGGGAATTCAAGATATGGTCAGGAGCCTTTTCCTTCTTCCGGTGTCCGCCACATTGAAAACCGAAATTTACGTGCCAGCAAGTCAAGCCGCTGACTGTCTAGAATTTCTGGCTATGTTTTGAAAGTGTTCCAATACGCCACTTCCGAGTTCCAAAGACCCTCACTTTCAAAATGAGGCAAGGTGCACAATCTTTCTTGCGAAAATGAGTTTTATTTGCATTGCTGATCACCTACCCTTGTTTTGAAACAAAGGCCCGGAGAACTCGGAAATGGCCTATTATCGTTACTGCCTCTCTTGGTCTTCAAGTTCCTTGTGGCTTCTGCTGACCCATCCGAGTTCGCTGCTTTTTTTAATTTCACGGGTTTTCTCTAGCTAAAGGCATTCTTCTTCCTCCTCATTTCGCTGTCTCCTTCGGCCTTTACCCTTGTGGCTTCCCTGCTTATCGATCGTGATCCCCCTTTAACCCTCCTGGTGAGTCTCTCTTTCGTCGCTCGCTGGTGTAAATGGGGAGATTGCTCGTAATCTAGTGGCTAACCGGCGATGTTTTTGCTTCAAATAGATGAGCTTCTCGGTTCCGGGAATGGCAAACATACAATGTAAATAGATATCCAATGATCAAAGATATTCCTTGAAGAACAATATTTAGGTTACAGGAAACGAAGTAATAACGCAGCGACGTATAGTTAAACAACTGAAGTTTAGAACTCAAAATGTTTGACAGCTCACTGCAGGTTCTATTATAAAGTGCTAGGAATAAGGAAGATGAAGGCAAAAGCACTGAAAAGACAACACCGCTTTACCAAAAAGAATTCCTTTTGCTTTTTAAGTGTTGGTATCATGACAATATTTTGGATCTACTTAAAATGTAAGAGCGTTTTGACCTTCGATCTGATAGCTTTAACTCGCCCGCATTCCATAGCCCTTGGTTATTACTAGTTTGAGTAATAATTGTAAGTACTTATTAGCCCATGAGCACGCACCATATTGTTCCGGTGGATGAGTCTGGATAACGAGTGAAAACAATTAAAACCACGCGTGCTTGGAAATGACTTCAATCTAGTGCGTAGATTTAGCTATGATAAACGTAAACCAGCTAAAACAACATTCTAGTTTGCCGCAATGTTGGATTTGCATCATACCCGGCTTTCCATGCCAATGAAGACTCTTTCCCTCCTCTAAGACAATTCAATTCAGTTTATAGTCATTTAAATTAAGAATAAATGACATTGCCCTTTACATCATTGGTTATACTTAAAAACAAAGTGAAAACAAAAAACAATGATAACATAAAACAGTACTACTGAATAGCTTCAATCTTGTAGAATAATAAAGTGGCCAAGCTTGCAAACAAAAGGAATTATATCTTAGAGAGTAGGGAGTGTCATACTGATCTGTGCTTAGTGAGAAAAATACTAATATGTGCTCAGTAAGAGAAAATAAGGATATTTTATAGGGAACCCAAACTCTTTATTGCTATCTATTTAGTTTATAGGTTACTGATACTATTTTAATTAAAAAAAATAAATAACTATTTGCGTGTGCCTATCTGAGTTTAGTCATTTCGGACAGGATTTCCATTAACGCAAATAATATTTCTCCGTTTGATCAGTTTAAAACAAAATCGCCTTCGAGATTCCGAAGAACACCTACAGGGATAAGTCCTAACAAAGGAAAACACTCCCTTTTAGCAAATTCCTACCATGGAACTAAGCTACCAACAAAAATGGCCCATCATAGGGACAAAACCAGTAGTGCTATGGCTAACCGCTGTTGGTGCCTTATCACCTCATTTTGTTGTAAAATCTTCTGCTTAATTATTTATTTATTGCTGTTGTTTGTCTATTGTTCGCTGGTTTGTTGTTGTTACTGTTGTTGTTTTTCTTGTTTCCTTTGTTTTTTGTGGCTGCCCAGTTTCAAGCAAGCACTTCATAATAAACTTCCATCTCATCTGGGCGGAAATTATTCCCGTATCGTGTTCCAACCCAAATGCTATAGTCGCAATAAGGCCTGCGGTACGAGTGACAATAAAAGTAAGAATTGGTATTTCTTCCCGCATTGTCCGCAATGTACATATCATGGCCCCCAAAGGTTGGACCATAATTATATGCGCTGTAAGTGGCGCTGCTATAGTAGCCGTTGGTTATGTCGTTTTTGAAGTATCCATACCCGTTGTAGTTTTTTAGTGAGTACAAGAAAGTATTTGTCGAATATTGATAACCAGCAGACCCTGAAGAGACAAAAAAAACAGAACACAAACAATTAGAGATTCAGTGTAACTCAGTCGCGTTCAATAGACCATTTTACAATTATGGATGGAAACGAGTCTGGGGTGGACCTTGCTTTGATACAACCATTTCTGCTTTCTTTCAACAAGTACTTTTTAAGTATAATTTCCATAACAAAACAAAGGAGGTTTGTATCACAACATTGTTATGCTCTAAGGTGCAACAGGCGCTTCACTGTACCTAAATGCAAGACAGATCGTTTTAGGAATAGTTTTATTATTTGATCCTGTACGTAGATTTTTAGACTTTTTATCACATTTTTCACACTTTTTTATTCACGGTTATTAGTTTTATATACACATTTTATCAATTGCATAATTTGTAAATACGCAATTCAGCCTTTGTGCAGCAAAGTATTGTTAATAAACTATCCAACTATCTATCTATCATGGTCAACCTCAGTCTTGCACTCATTCGAAGTCTAGGATACTAAGCCCACAGCTGTAAAATGGTGTATGGAGGGGGAATGGGGGCGAGAGCGAGTCTCCCCTCGTTTTTTTTTCTTCGTGAATTTTTCTCCCGCGCTCTACTATCTGAACGCCTGGAACATGCTACTAACATAATAGTATCAGTTTATCAAGGAACAATTAATAAATACAATGATACAAAAGACAGGAGGGTTATAAAACAGACCTTTCCTCCTCATCCTAGGCTTAAGACATTATTCTGAACAAAGGACGATCATGGCGTCATGCTTACCATATTTGAGAACTTACCTTGCCATGAATTGTCGTTGTAACCTCCGAAAATATAGCTCCCAACCCTCACAATAGTAACAGTGGGTCCTTTGTTATCGCAACGATTGTGAAAGGTCCGTGATCTCCAACCGTCAACGGAAGCTCTGTAACACAGTTTCCAGTAACTGTATGAACTGCGTAACTTGGGACTAAGCCAGGAATTTAGCTGCGATATCATGCTAGCGTCATTGGCTAAAACGATAGAGTCATCAAGGCCTAGAAAAAGACAGACCCAAAGATTATTCTTTAGTGTAATAAAACAATGGGAAAGTACAAAATAACTGCTCAGCTAGACAACACCAGCTCCCCTCCCCCAAGCAAAGAAAAGAGAAAAAAAAGAAAGAAAAAATCAATATACAAAACAACAAAAAGTAAAGTATCACTCTGAGTGAATGAGCTCGTGTATTATAGGTGTTTCGAACGATTTCTTTAAACTTAGGGCTTACTGCCCGCGTGTCTGTACACCATTTCTTGAGGGGTGTCAGAGACTGCAGATACTCGGCATACCAACGCTCCCAAAACCATTAGTATCTTTGCGGGAGTAATTACGCTGTAGAGGACGACTGTTCAGCTGTGCCTCAAGTAGTAGTAGCTAGCTGTTCAGCATCCAACATGGCTTTGAGAAAAGTTTTCTTCAGAGGTGTTTTTATATACACTCTTCGTAAAACCCACCCCACCATGGGGATCTCTCAACAATAAACTTTCCCTGAATCTTCGTTTCGGACAGTGTGACGTGCAACTTCGTTCCCAGGAGTTTGTGCGACTTGAGTTTTGTCAGCTTCAAGCACTCTCTACCCTGGGTACCAGAGGTTTTTCTCGCGTGCGGCGGGAATTTTCTGTGTTGGCCGAGGGCCGACACATTCACTATAAAGACTTGACAGAAACCGGAAACCGCACTAGAAAAGTCTCTGGCACCCATACCCAGGGTAAGCACTCTCAATCACTACTGTAGATTTTTGTTAGCGCCGTTGAATGCTAACAACTTCGTTGGTCAGCATTGAGAGTAACGTTGTTAAGGTCACAAAATGAAGCGGAAGAGCGTTGCAAATAATCCACAAAATTAACATTAATGCGTTTATCAATTTCAAAATAAAATAAGTGACTGTCCGCTTACGGTGATGAGAGCACGTCTTCCCGTCGCCATAGTATAACGCATTTCCGTCGCACTTGCAAGTAAATGACCCTCCTGTATTGTTGCAGATTGCATTTGAATCGCAGTCGTGAGTTTTAAGCGAACACTCATCCACATCTGCAAGGAAATATAACCATGTTCCGTATAAACCATTTTTACAGATGAAATTCCACAGACCACGTAATACACAAAAGTTAGTAATACGAAGAGTCGAACCGGCTGATTGTAAGTCAAGTCAAGTCAAGTCAAGTCAATCTTTATTTAAACACGGTAAAATCCATCAGGAATTTTAAAAAAATTAAAAATAACCTAACTATCCTAAACAAAATTCAAAACCTGACTACAACTAATCTAACTAAAACCTGTTTTTCATGAATGCCGTGTATAACATTAAAAGTGAACATTAACTAATCTTTTAAATTGACTAAGAGATTCGGCTTCTCTCACATGACAGGGTAGGCTGTTCCAGAGAACTGCTCCGCTATAAGTAAAGCTGTTTTTCATGAAATTAGTTCGCGGAAATGGGACAAATAGTTTGTTAACAGAGTCCCTCAGGGAGTAACGCGTTTCATTTCGTTTAACAAACTTAGATGATAAATATTCAGGAACAAGGCCATTTAAAGACTTGTATACCATTATGGATTTCTGTATTTGAAATTGAGTGCTCAAGTCTTTCCAATCGAGTTGTCTAATCAAACGGTTAGCATCAGCATCATAGCTAGAGAAGGTTAAAACGCGAGCGGCACGGTTCTGAAGCTTCTGTAGCCTGTCAAATAATGTTTTACCACAATTACCCCAGACAAGATTGCAATAATCGAAATGAGATTGAATTAGTGAGTTGTATATATAGTGAAGGGTAGGTGGAGGGACAAAAGGTCTAATTCTTTTTTATTGCTCCAATTCCGGAAGCGACCTTTTTAGATAATTTATCAATGTGTGTTTGCCACCGTAGATTTTCATCAATAAATATTCCAAGCGATTTGACAGAGGAAACGTGTTCTATCGGAACATTATTAATCGAGAGCTCAAGTGGGTTCGACAAAGTACTCAATTTTTGTCTGGAGCCAATTAGCATGAATTCAGTTTTAGAAGTGTTCAAAGTAAGTTTATTGGAAATAAGCCATTTGTTTAGGTTATCTAAATCGTGACTCAGAGTTAACTGTATTGAATTCACATCAACGCCAGCATAAGTAATGTGGGTGTCATCGGCATACATTCTAGGCTGGCACGAAGTAAAACAGTTTGGCAAGTCATTAATATAAATAAGAAATAAAAAGGGGCCAAAGATTGTTCCTTGCGGTACCCCACATTTAAGAGAGCAGATTCTAGAAAGAGAACCGTTAACAAGACATCGTTGTGTACGATTAGTTAAATACGACCTAAACCAATCAAGAGCTGTACCTTGTATTCCGTAAAGGTTCATTTTAGCTAGAAGGATATCGTGGTCAACGGTGTCGAAAGCCTTTTTAAATCGAGGAAAACCACAGCATTAACATTGCCACGATCAATATTAAAGGCCCAATTATCCGTAGCTTCCAGAAGGGCAGTTGCAGTTGAGTGTAACGAGCGAAAACCCGATTGATGATTAGAAATGATATCTTCATTGGTCAAAAAGTTATACAACTGATCATAAACAATCCTTTCAAACACTTTAGCTATAACGGAAATGACTGAAATAGGTCGATAATTATTCAGATCAGATGGCTCACCTTCCTTGAACAACGGAGTAACTCTAGCACATTTCCAATCATCAGGAAATATACCAGAGACTAAAGATTTATTAAAGAGATCACATAGTGAAACTGAAATAAGATCAGCACATTCACGTACAATTTTAGCAGAAATATTATCAAGACCAGTTGCTTTAGATCTACATAATTTGTTTAGATGTGAGAAAACAATGCTGCAGTTAGTCGAGGAGAAGCTGAAATTGTTGTTATTTACCTTTATATTATTGATATAACTTGAATTATTTTCAGCAGTTAGAGGTATTTCATTAGCAAGTCTGGGCCCAATTGTTGAAAAATGATCATTAAAAGCATCAGAAAGCTCACTAGAATTAGAGATAATGGTATCATTCAATTTCAGTTCTTTCACCGTTGTATTATTCACACGACGGGATGTAAGCTCATTAAAGGTTTGCCACGTTTTTCGAGGATTACCCTTAGATTGAATAAATGCATTAGAATAATAAGATGCTTTAGAAATTTTGATGTCATTGTTTATTATATTTCGCAACTTTTTGTACCTTTTCCAATCGTGTGGATCATTCGATGTAATTGCTTTTCTTTTGGCAGCATCACGATCACGCATGCCTTTCTTTAATTCTGAATTGATCCAGGGTGCTTTATTTGTTCTAGTACGTCTAGTTCGGAGTGGCGCATGAATATTAACAATATCCAAAAACTTCGTTTTCCAGTCAGTCCACAAAACATTTGGATCTTCAGAAACAGTACAGGACCAGTCTTGCTGAGCGATATCGTTACGAAAACTCTCTCTATTAAAATTTTGGAAATTTCTATAAGAAATGGTTGAGTGCCCTTTTGAAGGAAAAGTGAGAGATAATTTCCTATAAACGTAAATAAGGCTATGATCGCTGATACCAATATGAGAGACTCCGGAACAGACTACCCTGTCAGTATAGTTTGTATAAATTAAATCGATTAATGTTGAAGAGGATTCCGTTATGCGAGTAGGTTGAGTTATAAGCTGTTGAAGCCCAAATAAATCAGAAATTTCACATAAGCGTCGAGTATTTAAATCATATTGTGCAGAGGCCAGGTTACAGTTTAAATCACCTAGCAGATAATATTCTAGGCCGAGGGAATCTAATTTCTCAAGAAATGATTCGTAATGTAAAAATAAATCAATTGAGGAGCAAGGAGGTCTGTACCAAGTGGCTATCAGAAATGGCCTGGAGTTTGGTTTCCGAATCTCTATACATAAATTTTCAAGACTGGGTGCATTCAAATCAGAGCGAACTCCAAAATTAATCGAGGTTTTTATATAAAAACCTACTCCTCCTCCTTGTCTGTTTCTATCACGACGAATAAATTCATAGCCTGGTATTTGGACCTCACAACTATTGATAGAGTCATCAAGTTTAGTTTCATTAATTGAGAGAATATCAATGGAGCGATCGGCAAGGAGAATTCTTAGTTCATCAATATGCTTTGTAAGACTATTAATGTTTAAACCTGCAATTTTAAAACCACGACCAGAAGGAAGAAAAAATCAGAGAGAATTGTACTTTCAAATGAATCAACGTTTTGATTAGGAATACCTGATGATACGTCACTCGGTTGAGAAGCTAGCGTGGGCGTCTCCTGTTGCGAGCTGGAGAGGGAAGGTTTCCCAGTTCCATCAGAAGCTTTACCAGTTGTTGGATAGCTGAGGACTGAAAACCCTTAAGAGACTGATTATACTTGCCAGAACCAGATCTTAAAAACTTAATAAATTGCACGGCCAGCAATGACGAACCTTTGGCATTCAGATGAAGTCTACTACCATTTAATGCTGAGGCGTCAATAACCGAATTATCAATATAAGTAAAGTTATCATCTACTGCTGTGAGCTTGACCCTCTCATTAACTTCAATGCGTTTAGCATCGACGTTGATATCTTCTCTGTAGACTATACCCGAGAGACCAATGCTTGAGTTAGGAAACTTGCTCTTCACCTTCAATACAAGGCTCTTGATATCGGCGACACATGAATCGGCAGACTCCGATGGAAGATTGTTGGTGCCAGTATGGATGATGACGTGAGAAGGATCCGCGGATGCAACAGCGATGTTGTCAACAGCTTCAGCTATTTCAGCAGTGGTTTTCCCGGGATAAGAGAATTTATGTACATGTCTTTGCGAAAGCTTTTTGGATCAATGTGTTTTATCATTGAGTCACCAATAAGCACTATGGGTCTTGTCTTTCCGACTTCACCGCTTTTGGAGTTATTTGCACTAACTCGAGAGGTATTTGCGTGCGCTCCAGACTGATGCAGTGGCATCTCAGAGGATACTTGACTCGAAGGAGAAGAGACAAGTAAGGCCTGATAGCGGTTATGACTAGTTGGAATTGAATCAAATGCCCGGCTCGCTTCAGATGAATCAACATGTGAATGTTGCTGTTGCTGTTGTTGGCGACTTTCTTCGTTATTTGCAGTATAGTTGTCCTCATTTCTCACTTGGAATTGTACCTCACTTCTAAGGGGCTCAAATCTGTTCTGAGTTTCTATATTGCAGGCCGCCAACGGCCGCTGGATATGTTTATCATTCACACTTTTCCCAAGTGTGCCCACCTGGGACCAACAATCACATATCTTTTGTTGGCGGCATTCGCCCTCGCTTCTTTCTTGCATAATGATCTTCATTGCCAGCTTAAGAGAATCATTTTCTTGTTGCAAGGACAAAACTTGGCTCTCATAGGAAAAACACTTTTCCTCCAACACCTCAATTTCATTATCTTTTTTAGATAATGTCGATAACACCTTCTCATACCTCTCTTTGTAATCGAGGAGCTCGGCGCTAAAAGCGGTTTCTTGTAATTTGCATTTCGTCGACAGAAGGCTTGTATTTGCTTCAACCTTTTTCTGAAGAATTAGTAAATCCAGTTTTAAGCCCTCAATATCAGCACTGATAACCGAGTTCGATCGCTCTTGAAAACTGTTCTCAAGTCCGGCGTCGGCGGCCGAAGCTAGTCGATTACTGCAGATGCCATTGGCTTCTTGCGAAGGCGGAATTTCTTGCTCGGTTGTTGAAGCATCCGAGACAGGCGTATCAGCTTCTGTTCCCTGTTTATTTTGAATAAACTTGACCAACTTGTCCTTTAAGGAGGGACCATCTCGACCTTGGAAACAAAGGGTTAGCTGTTTCTTATTATACCAGTTGATGACGAGATTATTGTTAGAACTTTTGAATTGCTTTACGTTTCCTCCGGGCGACGACCACTTTCCTTGTAGTTTCAAGCCATTTTCCACAAAATTCTTTAACGATTCAAGGTTATTCGTCCACGTTAATCGTTCCCCGTTTAGCTTAAGGGATTGTAATTCGCACCATTTAAGGTTAAGCTGGTAAGACTCGGTATCTTTCGTCAAAACGGGACCAGAAGGTTCACGTCCGTCCGCCATGGTTCCAATTTTTTTAATTTTTAATTAATTAATTTTTTAATTTTTAATTAATTAATTTTTTTAATTAATTTTTTTAATTAAGTGCAAGAACTATAAGGAAGTCCTACTCCCTGTGACAGGTCGAAATTAGATAGATGAAAATTATTCACCACTAGCCACCGACACAGAGGTGAATAACTGTTTTAGTATGTACTAAAACAGTGAGATAATTGAGCACAAAAATGATTGTTTTTAACTCATTTTATACTGCTGCAGACGACTACGATTTTGGCGTCAAATGACCGAACGGCCGTCGCGTTTTCTTACCGACAAATAACACTATTGAAGGCATTTGTTTGGCTATTTTGGGGAAATTTCTTCAAAGGAGTTGTAAGGTCTTTTTCGATCTTTTTGTATTTAGCCTGCGTAGCAGGCGCTTGTAATTAGTGGGTACAAGAAAAAAACCTGCGCGAGAGAAGGAGACACGCGAGGGGAGAGGGAGCGCCTGCCCGGAAGGCATCGAAAATCGTTTCCCGCTCCCAACCTAATTACCTGGCAGCCGTTGCGTGATCTGTCAAAAGTTTTGACAGAAAACGACTGACCCCGCACAAACAAAGCGTGCCGCAAAAAAGCGTTGTACATTTTATCCTTGGTCTAAATATATCTGTTATAAAGATCAGCTGGGTTATCTGATTATAGAGCGATGGAGCAATAAACTGATGGTTAACACACAGCTTTAAATCGTTTTTAACCACAGGCACAATAAATAGGAAATAACAAAGTCAAAACTGGGTATCTTTTAAAGAATGCATGCTGTGTATTAAAAAAAAAAACTAAAAATATTGTTCTCTGAGCTTACTCAGACACCAACGATCCCAGCGTACGTGGAAAATGACCATTGCTTTTTCTGCGGTAAGTGGCAGCCGTTTTTGGAGCAGACACGTGTTACTAATTAAGCGAACCTAAACTTCAGAACACAAACTGTACCGACAAGTTTTCTACTACAGTAACGAGACATAAACAACAGACCTCAGAGGTCGCCTCTGAACAGCGAATAATACTATAGTGAAACGTTTTTTCAAATTAATGTCCCTGGTAAGTGTTTCATTTCATCAATCACGTCCAAGTTTTGATTGTATGCGTTCCATTGACAACACAAGCCGCCAAGTTCTCCTTAGTAAAGAATACTTCCTCTGATCTTCATTGCAACGCTATTTTGTCTCTCGCCACTTCTGCTAATGCGTATCTGGTGTCAATTCTTTCCATCGTGAATACCGTTTGAACATTCTAACTTTTCTTTGAGATTATAGCCACATAGTCCCATTAAACCAGACTGAAGTGACCTCCGAGACATGACCTTCGATTGTTTACTTAGTATAAGTAGTATATTGTATATTTAGTGGTTTCAGTAGTTTCAGGAGCTAGTGGTGTAATATAAGATCTTCACTGCGTTGTCCACGTACTATTGATTGACAGTTTTCTCGCCCCGCGCGGTATTTTTTTCCCTTGGAAGCCTCTCGACCAATTGGAAATATCCGCACTCACAGAATGCAAGTTGAAACGATTTTCGGGGGCCTTCCGTGCAGGCACTCCCTCGCCCCTCGCGTGTCTCCCTCCCGCGTTCCCGTTCTCTCTTTCGCCAACTACTTCCATGCGCCTGCTACGCAGGCTATTTTGTATTTGAAACCCTTTTGTTTATACAAACTATTAAAAGCTTATTTATGAACATGTCAGCTAATTAAAGTATTAAACGCAAGACGTAATTTGCATTTGTAAACAAAATACTCTTTTACACCGGTTTCATCGATAAATTCAAGTCAAATAGACAAAATATTACCTGTTAAAGCTTCAAAACCGAATTTCTTAACCTTTTTCGTGCATTTCGGGAACAGCTTGTTAAATTATTTGCGAAATTTCTTTGTTTGTTACGGTAGCAAACCGGGAAACCGTTTTGCTCGTAACTTACGCGAGTTCACGGGATCAGTGAATAGCACTGGATATCCCGACTTTCAGTGGCCAATCAGAGCGCGCGAAAAACACCATCCACTGTTTTAGTATAAAAATATACTAAAACAGGATATTGCCAATTCCATGCATACTCCTGCTTTGAGTCAATTTGACAATCCGTTTTTAGCCAGTGGTGCCATTTTTTTGGTAGCTAGAAATAATGTCTAGTTCTAAATGGGGCCTCGTCTTCTAAAGCTGTGACAAAATGGTACCGTAATGGGATAAATAACAATTATTCACCGAAGTGGAGGTGGCTAGTGGTGGTCATTTACCGAGGCCGCGTTAGCGGCGAGGTAAATTTCCACCACTAGTCACCGACACTGAGGTGAATAATTGTTTCAGTATATACTAAAATAGTGAGATAATTGAGCACAAAAATGATGATTTTTAACTCATTTACTGTTGCCTGCAGCGATTACAATTTTGGCGCGCAATGACCGAACGGCCGCGGTCGTCGCTTTTTCTTGCCGACAAATAAAACTTTTGAAGGCAATTGTTGAGCTCTTGCGGGGAAATTTCTAGGGTCTGCCGGATTATGCCGGCATAATTTTGAGCATAATACTATATCTGGAGCATCAGGCATAATGCTGGCATAATACTAACATTTTTGGAGCATAATGCCTCTGTTTCTGAAAACTGTGAGAGGTGTATGCAAATTTTGCCAGCAACTCGCTCTCAGCGACGCTATAGAATGTACAAAGTTGATCAAAGTGGGAATATTTTAACTTGATACGTTAGACTCGTACCCAGTGCATTTTGCTATAATCCAAGTTCATTGGAGAAAGACATATAGTAAGCCTTTCAATGCCTCACAATTTCCGACCTTTCGCTTGCTCATCGAATGTTTAACTGAATAACTGTTGTCTAACAATTCTTTCAATATGAAAGACTAGGAATGTTTATTAATAGATACAGGCCGGGGGAGGGTGGAAGTGTCATTTTAATCCGGCATAATTTGAGCATAATACCTCCAGTCGAGCATAATTTTGAGCATAATACCCTAGTTTCACGGGTGACGCCCGAAAGCATAATACTCTATTTTTCGAGCATAATCCGGCAGACCCTAGAAATTTCCTCAAAAGGAGTTGTGAATTCTTTTTGTATTTAAGATCATTCTGTAAAAAAGATTATTAAATTTAGCTTTAAGCTTATTTATGAACAAGTCAACTAAATAAAGTAACGCAAGACTTAAGCTTAATTTGCATTTGTAAACAAAAAACTTTTTCGCCGGTTTTATCGATAAACTCAAGTCAAAATGACAAAGCTTTACCTGTTAAAACTTCAACCCCGAACTTCGTCACCTTCTTCGTGTATTTCGGGAACAACTTGCCTGATTAGTTGTGAAATTTCTTTGTTCGTTACAACAGCAAACCGGGCAAGGTATTTTGTTCGAAACTTACGCGAGTTTGGCGTCGCTCGCCCGGAGAAGCTGGAGGTGAATCAGTGAATAGTTAACAATTATTCTTTGAAATCGAGGTGAATAGTGGCAAAATATTTACCGAGCCGCGAAAGCGGCGAGGTAAATATTCCCAAAGCCACTATTCACCGAGATTGAGAAGAATAATTGTTTTAGTATATACACACGAAGTGATCTCAGAAAGGAAACCATTCAAAAGTAGGATTTGATTAACAGATCAAATCACGCGTAAGTTTAAAAATAGATCTTTGCAGAATTTTCAAACATGGCAATTCACAAGTTTACTCATTTCGCAAACAACAGCGCAATGGCTTCAATGGAATCGCTAAAAGTTTGAACTGTTTCCTTACCTGAGAAAAAAAGTAGAGCTGTGTTGTTTTCTGTTGACTCGCCAAGTTTATAGCCAAAAGGGCATGTTGTGTCGTTCTTCGCATGAAGTGCTGACAAAAATGGCGGCTCGGTTGCTCGAGGTAAGAGGTCGTCTTCCTGTATCATTCTTTTTCCTGTTTACTTGAAATGTAGAATTTCTGCAAACATTTCCTTTTAAATTTGTTTGTCATAAATAAACTTCGATTTTTGAGGCAAAATTTTCTTCTTAGAAAACGCTGAGTTCACGAAACGGCTTCTTCTACGCGAATACACGGGAGTTGTAAACAATCCATCGAGCACAAAACTCCTGCTACAGTAAATTGAAAAACGCCGTATTGAATCCTTCCAAGTCTTTTCTTGCCTTAAAAAAAGTCAGCCCTAGGATTTTGTCGACTTTTAAAAGATCGTTCTCTAAAAAAAACGGGAAAAACACCGAGCTCACACATTATCCACTCGCTAGGAGGTGAATATTGTTGAATAGTCCGAGATAGCGAACCAATCAGATTGCTTAAATCACCAAGATCACTGAGTGTGTATATACTAATGCAGGATATTCACTGATTGAGTAGCCAATCACAGCGAGCGAAAAACACTATCCACTGTTTTAGTATATACTAATAAAAACTAACAGCGCCCTAGAACAGTCTACCGTTTCATGCAATGAATTACTCTGCGAAGTTTAAACACTGATCAAAAGATTTTTTTCTGTGGAATCAAGTTTAGCAACGGCTTAAGAAATCACCCATTAACAGTTCATCACGACTGTGTAATGGGTCGGAAAAAAGGTATTTAATTTACCTCTACAGGTTCGTCCATCCCCTGTATAACCGCTAATACAGATGCAAGTGTAAGATCCAGCTGTATTATAACAAGTCGCACTGCTGTCACACTGATAACCTGAAGAACATTCGTCGATGTCTAAAAAAATAAAAAAAAAAACAAACAAACAAAAAACAAACACCAAGAACACTATTTTTGACAGAAGTACACGGTACATAACTTGCAGTCATGCCACCCTATATCTCTAAATTGCTTTTAAAGGAAGCTTGATCACAGGTTACAAAATACATTATTCCCAGTTTTAGACTGCATGTTCATTTGGGCCTCGAAATTAATATTTAGGAGAATTCACCCTTAAATGGAATTAATTCAATATGGCCGCCGTATCGGTAAAAAGGTCTATTGCGCTATACGCTGGATAGAACTTTATCCAGTGATAGTGTTATCTGTCTCTTGAACAACTGACGCCTGAAGACACCGATTTTCTCTAGACTTTGTGCGCTTCCCCCAAATTAAAGAAAACGAAAGAAAAACAAAAAAAATTACTCAGTATTTTACAAGACAGCTCAATAGGAATTTAGAGATTAGTAAACTGCTGAAATATTAATAATTAACGTTGAACGTCCAGTTGAACTGAGTAAACGAAAACGGGTAATACTGGAGAGGTTGTTTGGCAAGGCGAGGTTGTTCACAACACTTCATGTTTATAGTTAATCCTGAAAGGCCGCTGCCAGGATTTTCAAATTATCCACCCAGGCTGCTCTTTGTGCTGACTTCACTGTTCTTCATGAACTTCATTATCGTTATTGCCCGAGCAGGGATTTCGCCCAGAAGGCGAAATTCCGAGGAGGCACTCTAGTAACTCGTGCGTGTATTAAGGAAAGTACTTACAGTTGAAATATACAGTCATACCCTCAATATAGAAAAAATCTCGATTTGCTTGAACAGGGGCCGCGAGGAATCGGTAGGTAATGATGACGTTTCTATTTTTTGCGCCCGCAAGTACGAAATGATTAGGATAACGTAAAGACAGAAAATCCCGAAGGGACCGCTCAGGTAGATTTTGTATCATTTATTGGGCAGTCATACTTCGATACTCTTTTGCATTACGCAGCGACATTCTGTGGAGCAGTTGTTTTGAAAGTTATGAACCAAAAGACACTCGTTAAGCGCAGATGAGGTTATACGGTGCTTTTAACTGTGCATATATAAACACTTGGAGAGTTAAGACACGAGTTCACAAATCTTTGATTTATATTGGAAACCTTGCCTGACACTCTTTCTCTCTCTTTGACCGGAATAAGACTCAGCCCCAAACAAGAAAGACGAGTGAACAACGGCTAGCCTATCACTAACAGAACGATGGACGAATACAGAAATTCGCCGACAATCAAATTCTGTGCTGACTTATTCGCTGCTCACAGACGTCCTTCCGTTATAAAGTTTCAGATAAGACTAGAATGCGCGAGCGTGAATCGATCAAACGTCCTTTTAATTTCTAAGGCTTACTTTCCGGCAAATAAAATGAACTGAATGTAAAAAGTGAGAGAGAAATAGCGAAAAATTCAACTTCTAATTAAATCTTTTCTTATGGTTGAAAATAAACTATTCTCGAAACTGAGAATGCTTTGATCAAAGCTGTGTAAATCGAGCTGAAACTGTGCATGGAACCTTGCGTTTTCTGTATTTATCTCACCTATTGTGTGAAATATGTGTGAAAATCTTCATTATGAATCGGTATATTTTAAAGAGCTACACAACAAGCAAGAATACTATTGACCGACAATATACAGAACGGGGGCAGCTGTAGTGTCAACTATTACTAGTTATCATTAGCGATTGTCGATGCAAATCGGCAAATCGAGAATGAACGGCGACGAGATTCTTTAGCTTTGCAGTCTTATGGATGTTTTGATTGATTTCAAAGAACTTTCTCAGATTTTTGTTCCTGCTAAAAAGAAGCTGTTTTCTATTCGTTTAAAAATTTGTTCACTGATGAAATTGACAACTTTTTCGCGATGTTCTATGGTCATTCTCCTGGCCGGATTGGATTTTATTCAAATGATGCAAAGTACGCAGGTTCCAGAGTTGTTTGGCACGATTCGGATGTGTGCAATGTCGGTCACACTGTCTTGCTTTGTAAGTCGCAGTTCAACTCTAATACCCACAGTTGTTCTTAAGATTGATAGCGCTATCCAATTGATATATCCCAGTACCCACTGGAAAAGCATTAGGGAGACCAGTTGTCTTATCCACTGAATAGAAAAAAGATATATATACTGGATAGCACTATCCACCTTTTGAACAACTCGGGCCAGATTGCAAGACCTCTCTTAGTTATACTTGTTTCTATTTCGAATGGGCAATATATCAGATCGAGCTTTCAGAGTAGATACCTGTGCACGCCAAGCCATCACCTGTATATCCCGTCGAGCAACGACATCTATAGGAACCAAGAGAATTTGTACAGACAGCATTTTGGTGACAATGGTTGTTGTCTCCTACGCATTCATCAAAATCTTGTTTGAAAAAAGAAATAACAAACAAACAAAGAAAAAAACAAAAAAAGGAGTTAAAAACCAAGTGTAAGACGAAAAAAAAAGTCAATAAAACAACCCTCTCAATCAACTAACCGAGAATATATCAGCCAACAACTCCATGACCAATTTTAATTGATTAAAACCAATCAATCAATAAATTAGTCAGTCAGCCAGTCAGTCATTCAGTCGATCAACAAATTAATCAGAAACTTGTTAATATTTATTACTATTACTATTATCATTATCATTATTATTATTACTGTTATTATTATTATTATTATTATTATTATTATTATTATTATTATTATTATTATTATTATTATTATTATTACTATTATTATACTCTCAAAAAAAGGAGTTAAATCTGGTTTTCATTGGCTCCGGGCAGCATCCAGTTGCCTGGGGAAGCCAAGAGGCGTCCTTCATTTTACTTTTGCTCCCAGGGCCCAGTTGCTCGAAGCATGGTTAGCGTTAACCAGCGTTTAATACCTTGACAACGTATTGGTTTTGATACTGCTTAACCAATGGTTAAAGCTAACCATGCCTTGAGCAACTCAGCCCAAGTCTACATCTCCAACACTTTCCTAAAGGCCGAAACACACGAGGGGTTTTGCTCCCGGAGCATGCTCCAGGCTCATTTTGCACGTGTCAGTACACGAGGGAGCGTTTTCAAGTTCCCTCAATTTGCCACGGGAGCTTGCTCCCAAATATTTAACCGGTTAAATATCGTGGAGCATTTTGCAGGGTGGAAATTCTGCTCCCGAGGATGAAGTATACCCATGAAATCGTTGGTACACACGGAAGAGCTTTGCTCCCGGAGCGTGCCCCTTGAGCATGCTCCGGGAGCAAAATCCCTCGTGTGTATCGGCCTTAAGGATCCTCGCTTACCCCAAAAGGGCGAATCAGTTCAATGGATGTGTCGACACCTGTGGTCCTCAGACTTTCTTTTAACCTCATTGGTATTGTCCCCAATGCCCTCACCACTATGGGTATCACCTTTGTCCTTACGACCCACATCTTTCGGATTTCTTTAGCGAAATCTTGATTTTTTTCTACTTTCTCGTCCTCTTTTGCTCTCACCCTTCCATCATCTGGAATTACCACGTCTATAGTTTGGCAGTTGTTCCCTTTTTTGTCAATGATTAATAGATTATTATTATTATTATTATTATTATTATTATTATTATTATTATTATTATTATTATTATTATTATTATTATTATATATACACTTTAAGTGTTCAACTGGTTGCTAGTTCTCGGTACAGGTCACATCTTGCAACATTAGTAGTAAGAACCCGTCGGAGGATTCGTGCTTTCCCTGATAGGACACTCTTTTGAATCTGAGCGACATCAAGATTCACCCCTATGCTTTCAAATAATAGTAGTAGTTGGTTCCTTGTTTTGTTTTTTTGTGGTTTGTTTTCGCATCCTACCACACATTTTTAGCGAATGTGTTGCTACAGGAAAAAGTTTGCACTCGTCGGTTTCTTTTTTTTTCTGTTTTTTTTTTTTCCTTGGCCATTTTTAAAAGAACTCAAGAATTTGTAATTTCACTTGTGCTACAGTTTCAGTACAAATTTGCACTTGTGTTGCAATAGAGATGCACTCCTTTATAGCCAATCAGAGTTTAATAATAATAATAATAATAATAATAATAATAACAATAATAATAATAAGGCTCCACAGTACCTTCTGAACAAGTGTAGTTGTGACAGGTTTCACAGCTCACGTCATTCCACATAAAACTATGTCCTACTCCCAAGGTGTGAACGCAGTCTTCATTGTTGAAGTTGTTGGGCTGGTTCTTAGCCCAGTAAGTGAAATTGTTTGTTTGATTATCTGCCCAGACAAAAGTTCCCTCCGTAACCCTATCGTTTAGCCCAATCCAGCCCTTGGCGCCATTCATCCTATGTTGAATATAGACGTTCTCTTCTTGGTTTCGTACACTGATGAGATTAGCGCTGTATGATTGGCAAGTATTCTGGGCTTCAGTCCAGTTCTTACATGTTTGACTGGTTGAGTAGCAAATGCCACCAAAATATGACCAACCAGGTTTACATACATCTGCAGGAACAAAGCAATGAAAGGTTAACGAGGTTAAATGCATATTTTAATATATATGGTTGATTCCCGATAACTCGAAGGGAAGTCCGCGAAAAAAGTTCGGGTTATCGGAAGTTCGCGTTATCGAGAGTTCGGGGAAAATAACCCAAAGTAAGGAAAAACGGTTTTTCAAGGCGGTGACTGGTAAGACAGTTAGCTTTGGGGAAGGAATGCAATGCATGTACCACGCACACTTCACTTCCGGGGCCGTATATTGACATTTTGAAAAAAAGAATTTTAAAAACAACAAAGCTTCATTAATATACAAGGCCTGACACTGTATTTAAACTGGTCAGGATTGAAAAACTAAAAAGTAAAGACAAAGTATACAGTGTTGCTATAAAATAAGTTCTGATCAATGTCTCGGACTGCAGTACACGGTGTTTTTTCGTCTATGTGGACTTTTCTCTAAATAAGAGAGAATTTAAAGATGCCATTCGTTTGAGATAAGATGTCAACTAAGCGACACCCCGTCTACTTGTGCGTGTGGAGATGTTTTCGATGTAGACCACACCATGGTGCGCAGACGAAGGGGGTTCATCATTCAGAGACATAAGGAGTCGCGTGATTTGGAAGCCGAAATGCTAAAAGATGATGCAATGACGTCCAAATTGAGCCAGTACTTCAGGAGATAAACGAAGAAGTGCCGACACCTGGTACCAAGAGAACAGCGGATTCCCGGCTCGACATTCCCGCTCGTGGCTTTTTGGAGCGGCAAGACACTACCTTTTTCGACGTTAGGGTTTGTTACCCGACTGCAGAGTCTTTAATGTAAAGGCCTCAGCACAAAACAAATCTACCCCCAGCATAAGAGTGAGAGAAAAAAAATGTTCGCCAGCAAGGTGCTAGAAGTCGAACAAGGCTCCTTCACTCCACTGGTATTTACTACCAACAGAGGAATGGCAGATGAATGGAAGAGGTATCACAGTAGACTAGCTAAACTTTTATCAACCAAGAAAGGAGAGGATTTTAGTAATACAATGTCATGGATTCGCCCTCGTGAGGCCTGCACTGTTGTGCTTGAGAGGCTCATGTTGTACGCGCTGAATATTACAGATTATTAACGACTTTGAAATTGATCTCATAAGAGACCAATCAATCAATCTCTCTCTCTTTTGATATTTTTCAAATTTAAGATTAGTATTTTTTTTGCTCAATTTATTCTTCTCCTATGCTAATTTTATGTTACTTAACAACTAGTCCAAGAAACGTTCGGAGGCTTTCAAGAATACATTTATAAGAAGACTCAGTTTATTTTAAATGTAACTCCGTTTGTAGATTATTTATATTTTCTGTCTTATTCTCTTTAATTTACTAGTTTTTTTCTCCATTTTATATAGCTTTTCTTCTTACCGAATTTGTAACATCAGGTATGAGTTTTTATCTCGTACAGTCGGACCCCGCTTTACGGACACCTAGTTGTTACGGACAGTTTTCCTTGTCCCTGGGGAATGTAAGCCCTCATATTTTCTCTAAATTCAACCCGCTTAATACGGACACCCTGTTTATACGAACACTTTCTATGGCCCCCTTTTTTATAATAATAATAATAATAATAATAGTAATAATAGTAATGATAATAATTGAAACTTATATAATTGAATTAATTCAAGTGTTCGCGGTCATTGTAATTGCAAAGGAAGATTTTTTTTCGCCTTCTAACCCACCTGCTAGTACTGCATAGGTCACGTTCACAGGATCATGCTGGTTAGCGTACAACTCCTTGAGACAAATACGGAATTCGCCAGTCTTAATGTGCTGCAAAATAAATAACATCCTATTTATAGCATGTATATTCGCTTGAAACGCCAAACTCTTTCTCAGCACAAAAGGAATCGAGAGTTCTCATTTCCAGCGAGGGATTTTATCCAGGGCAGCGTTCCCATGCCATTTGCTATGGGAAAAAAGGCCTGTGAAGAACGGGGCGAAACAACATCAACAAAACAAAAACGCTAACAAGTATCGCTAGAATAAAAACGAATAACAAATTTAGCAAAAATTAAGACTTATGAAGAAAAAATTAGGGAAGGTCCTCTAGAAGCCTGCAAATATCGCAAAAAATCGCAAAAGTCAGAAGAACTTTTATTCAGCAACAACAACAACAAAACACGCTAACAAATTACGCAATGTAACAATTTACGCAAAAGTTCAGACTTATAAAGGATAACAAAAAAATATTCTTGTTGTTTTTGCGATTTTTTTGCAAAATTTGCGGACTTCTTGAGGCTGTTCCTTTGTCTTTTTTCTTTCCAAATCTAGAATTTTATTAAATCTGTTATTCTTGCTATTCTTGCGATATTTTTCACTCACTATTTTAAATAACAAAAAATATATATATATATTGTTACCTTTGCGATTTTTGCGAAATTTGACAAACTTCTTGAGGCCCTTCTTGCCTTTTCTCTTTCTAAATTTGATAAATTTGTTACCCTTGCTATTTTTGTAATATTTGTTACAAGTCCTTTTGGTATCACAAAGAGACTCTTCCCTCATAAGAATATACTCAAAGCAACATGGGTACTCGCCAAATAGGATAACCAGGAATCAGATAGATCACGGGCTTACAAAGATGGTATGCAATGAAAGATCGAGACAGAGCACAACGGTTCTAGACAAGAATGGAAACCACATCAGTAGTAACAGTGGAGTAAAGGAAAGATGGACTTAACACTTTAAGGAGGCGCTTAATAGGGAAGCACCAGCAAACCCAATAACTGATAATCGGGAGGATACATGACGTCCATGACACAGTAGAAGAGATAGCAGTAAACAACCTAACAGTAGGCAAAGTCAAGGCAGCGATAAAGGGATTATAAAATGGGAAAGTACCGGGAATGACTCCATAACAGCAGAGTAACTCAAAGCAGACAGAGAGTTTTCATCAGAGAAAATATATCAACTGATGAAGAAAATATGGCAGTACGAGAAAATCGCGTAGAGTTGCAAGACTTCAAGGGTGCTGCAGAAGACCAAGGGGAACTAGGCCAGTCATTTGACATTAAAACCAGCGTCAAACAGGGATGTAAGATGTCAGGCTTTTTTGTTCTTGATTGTTATGGATTGGGTAATGAGGAGGAGAGTCGGTCATGGTGAGAATGGTATTGGGTGGAAACTGTTCACATCTAAATTAGATGACCTAGACTTTGCAGATGATGTAGTGCTAATATCCTCTACCAAACAGCAGATTCAGGATAAAATACTACGAATGGATACGATATTTATTACCCTGTCTTTTAGATAACAAGGGAATTTCTAGCTACCCTTTCAATTTTTGCGAAATTTGCCGACTTCTCGAGGCCCTTCTTGGCCTTTTCCCTTTATAAGTCTAGAATTTTGTTAAATTTGTTATTCTCGCTATTTTTGCGATATTTGCAAGTAAGTGTCTCATAAATTTTCTTGTGATTCATTTCTATGCTAAAACTGCGAAAAAAATTGGCTAAAAAGGAAATTTTTGTGTGACTGTATTCAATCCAGGATAGAAGAAAACGTATTTTTGCTAAGTTCATCGTTGACTGGGCAACTGCGCGCTCAGAAGTTTTGGTGGCTGCCTCAAACTCAAAAATGACGAATTTGGAGAGATCATGTGGTCTCACAAAACTTCTTTTCACAATTCTTTACTCTCATATCGACAAATTGTATTATTTACAAAATGTTTTTAGCGGAGCTCCCGCGCGCGCGAAGCGGAGCACCATGGGTAAGAAAATTTGGTAAACCATCCATCCCAGAAAATTTGGTTATGACGTAGCGTACGCCCGTCCGTACACACACTTCATGTAAACCGATGTCAAATGTCACAATAGATCTTGCACAACTTGACTAGCCTCTTAGTTATGTAAGCCATCCGTATGAGTACGATTAGATTGACAGCTGTCAAAATCAGACATCCGCTGACAATTATCACATGACCGTCTCGCGGGCTCAGATAAAAGACCAGTCGTTTTGCCCCTATATATAAGCTGATATAATATGTCACACTTACCAATTCAACATAAAAACGAAACTACGCCGGGCAAGGCTGTCAGTTGGCTGACAGTCGTTTAAAGTTACATTGGCAGGCCAAATTAAGGTCAATTGACAGCTGTCAAAATGGGACATGTGCAGACCGCTATCAGAAGACTAATAACGAGGGCTCAGGTTCGCTCAGGTACACCATCTGGCATTTTCCAGTACATGCCGGACGGAAATGTCCTACTCACACTCGTAGTCTGTTAATTCGAATATTCGCCATTCTAATGAAGGTTAATTGACAGCTGTCAAACTAGAGTATACGCTGACCATCATCACCTGAGTGGATCGCGGGCTCATTTTTCTATCTATTGAGGTCACGTAGTGTTTAAAGTTTTGCGCTGATGTTTTATTTGATCACGGGCTCAATTCGAAGCCCCATAGCTTTATAGAAAATCTATCCATCCTAGAAAATTCGGCAATCACGTGACCGTACACCGACCACCCGACACTCCGTCCGTCCGCACCACAGGCATACCAATGTTTAATCTCGCACTTTCTAGCTAGTTTGGGAGCCTGCAACCTGATATTGTACATCCATGTTTTGATTAATTGACAGCTGTCAAAACAGTGTTTCTGGTGACCAGTATCGCCTGACCGTATCGCGGGCTCAGGTATCGACCCTCTGAGTTCGAGTAATATTTTGAAGGTATTCGCTGACAAGTTGCTACTTTTCAAATGATCGCAGGCTCAAGTTCAATTTTTTTAAAATGCATATGAAATAAGACGTGTTTCATGAGCCACACTTTTAAAATGTTGATTTCGAACTGATCTCGGACACGAAAATTCAACCGGCTTTTACATTTACATGCAGGGAAGGCAATCGCTTTTGACTTTTCTCACTGTCACGCGTTGATCACGCTCTACGTCCAATTTTTATATTCTGATTGGTCAAAATTTGACAGGTGAGTTTATGCGGAAAACTTTTGCAGCGTCTGGAAACTTGCTTACTGATAGCTGGAGCTGAGAGAGTTTTGTGTCATCTTGTGATGTTTTAAACTGTCTTTTTCTACTTGGTGTACAAAATGAAATACAGCTGCTATCAAGATTGTTCTGTAATTCGTGGCTGGTTTGTTTATTGCGCTTTTTGTTGACAAATGCACCTCTTGTCAAAGTCATTGGAAATCCGATTTCGGATGGCATCGTTTTCAAAAATGAGCTTACTCACTTGCCCTTGCTTGAGGCGTAAGAACGTTGAAAAGTCTCAAGCGATTCTGGAACACTTGATGACCTTCAGAAGCAGCATCTCGACTGGTAAGCTTGAGCCATTATTGTTTTTGACATTTTTTTTTTTTTCGGTTTCCTGAAGTCGAGCGTATGGTTTATATTATGCGGCTTAAGTTAAAACACGAGCAATGATCTAACCTACAAAAGGAAACAGGTTTAAAAAGCCTTTAGACATTTTTTGACCCGCAAAGTCAAAGAAAAGGTTCCGAAGATTATTTAGTTATGATTTTGGCTGTAAACAGAAAGCTCTGAGCGATTTTCTTGCCTCGATTTCATCTTGAAAAAGAGCGAACACCGGGAAGCCGGCTTTAAACATAAATAAGCTTATGCTTGCCTAACTCATGATTTTCTGAGACACTTTCCTCTCAATACTTCTCTTCGTGAATGAAAATTATTGTCTCTGTACATGTTTCACCGAATTAAACTTATTTTATTGATTGTTAGTAGTCCCTCTCGCAATTTTCATCGCTGCACCGGTTGTTTCCAGTCCAACATAAACATCGCATGTAGGAATACTCAAAACGCCGCGCGTAAATATCACTCGCTTTTCAAGATTACACAACAAAATCATACACACTTTAATGAATATCTATAAAAGGGAAATAAAACCTAAACATAACAATTTCTCTATCATGTTAAAGCGTAAATGGTAACTCTATTAATCGCACTGCAAATTTGGTGCCTGTCAAAAGTGAGAACCCGTCCGGCTGGCCGAAAAGTGATTTTGGGAATTTTTTTATCGTTTTCATTAAAAGCCCATAATTATTACCCCGCATATCACATAGGACCAGATTTTTCTAACAGAAAACGTTTTATAATTCAATGCTATAATTTGTTGTGCAAAGGAAGCGCGTGCTTTGATCGTCGTGGATATTGAATGAGTGCAAATTATCTTGCAAAATTGTGAAAAACTGCAGAATTATAAGTTTAAATAGGGCAAAAAAGAAAAAATTCTGTCCGAGGTCTGTGTACTGTTTACCTGAGAAGTGATGAGAAAAAGTATGTTTAAAAGGCTGGTTTACACGCCACCAGATTCGTCGCCAAGATTTACTAGTAAACTAAACTTGTCCAACACAAAAAATCCGGCCTGATTTTTATTTTGGCCTTTCTTTTAGACAGAGGAATGCAACGTGTAAATTGGCTGCCACCAAGGACTATCGTGGCGCATGTGTTTCTTAAAATTATATTTCGGGGTTGTCCAATTATCCATAGTCTCTCTAACGGAGCAATGTTGGAGAGACTGGTGAATGCCATATTATGATGATACAGCTAATGCAAATACAATACACGAATAGGTCTATTTGTTTTCCAGGCCTAATCTACTGTGATCGAACATAATTGCTATTTTTCGGTGTACAAATAACTTGATGTAAAATTTGTTTCACTCTTGGACGCTCGAATTCTGATTTTTCTCTAAAATCACTCAGCCTTTGCCTCAAAAGTCAAATGAGTGTGCCCTGATCTGTGGATTACAAGTTTATTGTTTGATTTAAATTATGAATTTATTAACGGGAGCTTCGCTTTTAGCCCTGGCTAAATCTATATATTAGTGATAAAGATAAAAATGTGACTATTGTACTCCCCGCCCCTCCACTACTTGTTAAATAAAGGTCAAGGTGACAAGATTTCACAGGATTGTCCGGTAACGGAATTAAATTAAGGGCATCAATTAAATTGAATTTCAAAAGCCAAGAAAATTCTCTCAAAGATAGCAAAACGACTCATTTTTCAGATAACCTCTCTATAAATTCATACACGTTACACGTTACTCGTCATGGTCATCACTACCAGTTTGTTTGCACTACACACCATTCATTTCGTAGCAAAGGCAACATTGGTTTTGAGTTCTTTCGCCTAAAGCCCTGCCATGAGGTCGCTTTCTTGCTAACACGAAATTACTGATCAGAAACTCTTCAAATTTGCAGGGAGCGGGAGAAACTACTTTTGGAAACACACAATGTGTTATATTTGAATAACGATGGTTGATAACTGCTGAAAGTTCTACGCGGAATAAGCCTTGGCTTAAGTTGGTACATGCACATTGTTTTAAAGGGCTTAACTTCCTAAGGGTATTTCAGAGCTAACTCATTTATTTACTTATTTGCTTATTTTTTGGCATTCTGAACTCGTAAATATAACATACAACAACTACATCTTTCCATACCTCAATCCATGTAGTAACGGACATGTGTGTTGGTTTCAGATTGCTGCCCTCGGAGTTGTGACTGGCTGCTATTATTATTATGGGTTCTTTGTCGTAATTTCTTGCAAACTGCAAATCCTAAGTATAGAAAACGATGGCTGTTAATATGATAATGAAAATTAAATTAAAATTACTATTTTTCCTTTGATACTTGGTGATAGGTGCCGAAAACTAGTCTTGTGAAGTATATTGAAAATTGATTTTTTAGATCTGTCTCATCTTTTAAGTTTCGTTTTTGTTTCATTAAGTGGGTCAAGGTTAGTCTTGATTTGTCCACATACGTGTTTTCCTGTTTTGATCACTTGCTTTTACATGTACTTGAATTTCTGCTTAGCTCGCTAGGTGGTCGTGTTTGTGATGTTAGAGCTGACCTTGGTTCATTAGTCTCGTTGAAGTTCCTGTTTGGGTGTGTTAACCAGCGTTTTAGTTTTTCATTAGTTTGTAGCTTCTTGCCGATCGCAGCCATGTCGGTTCAGTAATAACAAAACATTACCCATACCGAGTCTACCTTGATTTTATTCCCACGGTCAGCTAACCCAAACATGCCCAGCTTTGGCTATAAAAACCGCTACTATACCACGGCTAAAACTTAGTTAGGTCAGAGTAAGGATTGAGTAGAGAAGCAGAGTAAGAAGATTAAGATTAAGAATGTTCGCAGAAGTCAAAGAAGAATAAAGACCAAGATGTAAATATGATTCCTGGTACCTCATCGTGTAGCGAGCTAGTTGCTCAATCACACCCCCACGCTAGCTGGGATTTTTCTCGAGGAATGGCCTGCGAGCAGGGTCAAGTGTGCGAGTTCGAGGGAAATTTCGGCGGCATAGCCGCCAGTGCAAAATTTTCCCCCGAACTCGCACAAGCCGGAGCCTCCTCGCAGGCTAAAAGGAGTACTGTTGTGAAGGTGGTGATAGTAATAGAAAACACCGCTTTACAACATAGTATGCGAAACATGGAAAACCTGTTGCATAGCTTTTTTATCTGTTAAATTGCTGAAGAACATAAAACATGCCAACGGATTATCGTAAAATTACAGAACGAGCTCGCTTCCTACCTTACAAAATGCACCATTGTAGTTTGTAGAAACAGGGCTGTTGTTTGGAAAATTTACTTGTTTGCTCTCGGCAAAAAGGGGCCGGTGGATTGTTTCAAAGACCATCCAATTCTGAAAAAGTATTACAACATAGCTGCATAAACACATCCAATTAGCAAGAAAAAGTGTATCTGGTTTTGCAAATCTCTTTTTTAGCCAATTTCATGCCGATTGGTCAAAACTGAACCGGTCCAAAAATTTGGATTTGGTTAAAAAAGCGTTTTTTTCCGCTACAGAGTGGCCGTTTCCAGGACTCTGAACACTTAGTTGCCTTTAATAACAGTCATTTAAGAGCTAAAGCGTTCCTGGCTGGATTACTGAAGATTTGATTAGCAATCACTTGTTGTGAAATGGAGTCTAAAATTTGAAACAAAGTGCTGCGATATTCTTATAGTGGCTGCTCTTTTTCTCAGAAGAATATGAAAATAAGACTATGGAATTTTTTATCAGCCCCAGCTGATGGAATATCTTCTTCCTTAATGTCCGCTTCTCTTTAACACAAGGTTCATTAAAGCCTTGTTTTCTGTGCTTTTTTCTTTAGTGTTCATAATGTATATCTCTTAAGAAAAAAAATGTAAAATTACCACAAAGATATCTTCATGCAGACCATCATAGTTCTGCAGCTCTCGAAGACAAATGTAAAAGGAGGAACTGGTTGCGTTCTCCACCCACAAACTCGCAGCGTTGTGCTTAAAGGCTGCACTTATATGTTGTGCTGTAACCAGGATTCTTGGGGCAGTAGCAAACTTTCCCTATAAAGCAACCATTAATGAAAATCAATGAAAATCAAGAATGGAAAGTCGTATCTCCAGACTAATTAATATTGTTAACTTTTAAAGAAACATATCCAAAACAAAGAATTAAAAAAATCAGAATGAAAGAATGAAACACGATCTGCATGTACGAAGTACACGACTTTTTTTCGATTTGTACATGGCCTTTCCGTATGGTGGTGAAGTGTCTGGCCCCCACGAGTTTGGCCTTGGGTTGTACAAGGCCGGTTTTGTCCGCTTCGTTTCATCGTTTCAGTTTCTGTTGGTTTATGCTTTAACCTATCTAGGCATAATTGGAAGACGAACATTTGCCATGTATACAAAATTTAGTGCATGAATGAAGGCTTGTTTTCGCACTTTTAAGGGGTTTAGCCTGCAAATAAAAAAAATCTTAAACATACTTTGTGCTATGGAGTCCAACCTGAAAAAAAGCATTTTTAGATCGAAATTATTTGAAGAATAAGGCATTTGACCGTGGTTCACATTGATAGGATATCTCGTACTTTTGTTGATTTATTTTTTGCTATGCAAAACAACTTTTATGGTTTTTAAGAATAATGCAAAATATCTGAACAACTTGATTTCGTTACAATCGGGCACCTTCCTAAGACATTAAAAACCCAGTATGGCGGCAATTGAAAAAATGATGCAATTTCCTACTTCAGCATCGAAATTGCGAGACTTACTGCTAACACCGTAAGATTCGTAATCATAGATATTACTAATGGGAGGGTGGCATGACCTCTCGCCACCTCTAGGTCCCAAAAAACAACTACCTTAAGCGCAATTCCAGAAAATGGAAACAAAATAGATAATTGCCTGGGGAAGGTTAACTTCTTCACACTGTGATCCAGTCCACCACTGTGAAATGCGTGATTTTCCCGCCACACCGCCATCAGGTGCTCCTTGGTAAGCCATCCAGTCCACTGTGGCAAACTCCTTAGTAGAGCGGTCATTCCGTCCTGCTGCTGTCACGCAGACCTAAAGATACAATTGAACACATATTTGGTTAATTGAGATTTTACCTCGTAATTGCAGGTTTTTAATTACTGATGAATCGAGAATACAAACATTTTGCTCTTCGGGCTTCCTCGGTATACTTTTTTAATCACCGGATAACATTTGCAAAAGCTAAGGGCTACATATTCACAGGGAAAAAATCTGATACCAAGTTATGTATGTTACGTGTAATGTTAATTTTTGAGAATAAACAAGACATGCAGATTAAGCAAAATTAAAATGATACAAGTGGTACAAGTTATAAAATTACCGAAGCACAACAGGAATTAAAGAACAGTAATTAAACAGTAATTACGTCTGACTCAGCAATTAAGGGACGATTTTTTTTTACAAATCGTCAATAAAAGGGATAAGAGAAATTATAAAAAGATACAAGACGAGTATGCGAATTTTTAAATCCTAGTAACTATCATCACTTGGTAGACCGCTGTCCTTTAGGATAAACTAAAACATTGTTTTCGATATTCACCTCAAAGTTTTTGTAGTTAACGGTGTGTACCCATGAAACTGTGGCGTCATGTATAAAATTTTTCCTGCTTATGTTCCAGTGATTGGTCGTTATTTGCACGTGTACCTCTTTGTCTGGATAGAAGGAGAATGGCGGAAATTCCACCACTTTACAGGCCGTCTCAGCCGATTTTACATGTCTTACGAGTGAAACCCGCCCGGTCTGAACAGGAAAGCCTAAATGGAGGCAAGAGGAGTGTAAAAATACACAAAAAGTTAGAACAAAGAAGGATAGAGGAACAAGTAGTTTTTGCTTCAATGTCAGGTGTAAATGCCCTATAAACGTAATACCTCCAATTGGTAAGTACGAATTTGGCAAATTAGGCAAACAAACTAACAAACCAAAACAAAGTGATATCAAGAGCTAAAAACGTGGTAATGGACCCATCTTACAACTCATCTATAGGGATGGTGTGTGTGTGTGTGTGTTTGTGGGAAGGGCTAGAGCGAGAAGAGGAACTTGTGCTAAAAAGGCGGAAACAAAAGCAATACTTAATCCTTAGTCAGGCCTAGTAGATCGTCTCATGCTTTGTAGTTGGCAACAAAGAAGTAAGGTAAAAAAGCTTAAGAATTTTACCTGTACAGCTGCCAGGATGATAAAGCGTGTGGTTACTTTTGCGTTTGCAAATGTCCAGCAGACAAAAGCACTTGTTCTTGAATGTTGTCGAGTTAGATGAACATACGGGCTCTTCGTACGACGGGCAGTTGTCATCACATACACAACGAGCATCAAATGCAGAGAAAGCTTTGCAGATGGCATGGTACTCGCAAGTAACATTTGTGCACGGGTCAATATTTTTGAGAAAAATACAAAATCACTTCTTACGACAGGAATTTAACCAATTTTTTTCCTAAACTCCTATCAGAAATCTTACTGAAGCATGAAGTGCTTAAAATAAATATACATTTTTCGGAAAAATATTACTCCATTCGGCATGCGGTCCTAGACTTAAGTCAGAAGAATTATAGAAGACAATACATTTTTAAGACTTTCACTACGTGTATATATGTCCAAAAACTTATCTTTCTTGTTTTTCTTTTCTTTCTTCGATTTTGAAACTGCTTCTAATCTTAACTAAAGTTTCTGATTTTGGATGCAATGGAAACAACAAATTACCTCCCACAATTGCATAGTCTACTGTAACTGGATCGTGAGACTTGCTTATTCCCTGGCTGTCCTTGATGCACGCTTTGAAAGACAAACGAGTGATTTCCTAGAAGATAACAAATTCATTCAGTTATAACTGCTACAAATTTAGCAAGAAATACTGTTCAGTTCGATCAATTTACTACAACTCCAGTCAAACTTAAGTTACAAAAAATTTGTAGAATTCCTAAACAATGAACTAAATATTAAATTTACAACTTAGTATCGCGTTGTTCAAAAATTTCCTTAGTCTATCCAAGTAAAATGAAAAAAGAAGTGGAGCTTTCTGCGTATTAATTACGTTTCTAGTTCCTAGATTTTTAAGGCGTGGATATTTCTTTTGTGATGTAAGAAGTACAAACGCAAGAAAAGTATGTGCAGAAAAAAAACTTTTTACACTTATCTCAGTCAATTTTCTCGAGAAAAATCAATTTTACTGAAATTGAATGAAGTTCTTTTATTCGCCACTCTTTTTCTAGCCCACATTTGAAATAATAATAATAATAATAATAATAATAATAATAATAATAATAAATTTCTCGGTACAAAACCATAGTTGAAACGACAATTACTGTAATGACTGAGGAATTTGATTAAGTTAAATATAAAACCGTTGCAGCCACTTCGAGCGTTTAATTCATTTTTACTCAGTTACTTGGAGTGTGGAGGCAATTGAAAAAAGAACTCTGAAATCAGTTTCAATAAATAAGGAAAGATAAATGGCTGTATATGGTCTGGAAAATTACTTACCTCGATCCAAACATTTAAAGCATTGCTAAGACGACCATCAGCCTTTATCCACAGAGCACTGGTAATGTTGTCATGTCTGGCAGACGTGAGGACACTAGGAGGCTCGTAAAATGGATTTTCGAATTTATAATCCTGAAAAAAAAAATTACACAAAAAAATGCATTGATAAAGCCTTATTCAAAGCTTATCACCTTCTTATTCCGACCTTGGTTTAAGAAAAAGTATTGTAATTCAAAGACCTTTCTGTAATTTTCTTGTTTAACATTTAAGACATTTAAAAATGTCTTAAAACGCATCAGTTCATGTACACTGCCTGCCTCCAACAGCTTTTGCTAAATGTAGGTAGTGTGTATGTGTTATGTGTTTCATTGCTGTCAATAACGTTTTTGTTTGTTGTTGTTGTTACGACAGTTCCTATTTAACTTGCTTAGAATAATGCGTAAAAGTGTTTTTTTTTCTCTTATTCCAAATAGAACAAAGTTCTGCAAGTTTTCTAAACTAAATAAATAAATAAATAAATAAATAAAAGAGATTATAGTGCAAAGACTGCTAGTGGATGCACTTTTGTACAATTCAAATACAGGTGTACAACAGAAATCAGGATCAACGATACGATAAACCCTATTTTGTCACTGATAACCGTACATTTATTATAGAAACAGACTGCTATAGTCTCTCCTGGAAATGGGCGATACACGTTTTCCCTTGAGCTGTACTAAACTAAACAGAGGCTCATACATGTAGAAGACCGTTAGTCTTTCCAACCTGACAAAAAGCATAGTTGTTTTCTTTCTTTGGTGCACCAAGTCCAGAAAAATGAAGCTTTCCTCTTTCAGTAATATTCCAAAACGCCGGGAGCACATCATACGCAAGCCAGTTCTTTTAAAAAAAGAGAATATACACAAATTTATTTGCAGATTTGCGGACGATTATTATCATTATTCTTCGTCCTGAGATGGGGAGTTCCGACAGACAGAAGTGCTGCAAAAAGCATTGGGAACAGGTACATCTAACCTAAATAAACTAGCACTTAAGACGTTAACTGAAACGACTTTCTTGTTCTCACTGTCGTTTTTGATATATTAATTTTTGTAATACCAGTTGGAGAAGAAGCACGATATAGAATTTACTGTACATAGAAGTGTAGTGGGTGATGCCACATGTACTGGAACGCACCCTTTAGTTACCCAAAGGTGGACTTCTTTGCCACACAAACCCTGCGTGGTAATTTCGTGAATAGAGCAATAAAGACTAGTCTCCTCAGACTTCTCTAATCTCAACTTACCACTTTGAGACCTGAATGGATGCCGTCAAAGCTCATAAACTCCCTCAAGCAAACCACAAAACCATCCTTTTTGACGTCCTCTAGCCAAATGTTCATGGAATCAAACGGTCGGTCGGAGTGTTTATGTAGAACAGTCACAAACACTTGGGGTCTCGCCTAAGTAAGACAGAGTATAACAAAAGAAGAATTATCTATGACACAGAAAAAAAAAGAAGAATGAAAATGTACGGCCTGGGTTCCTACATAGCCCTGATGTGACATTTTCAAAGTTCCTTCTAAGTGACTAATTATGACAGTAAAGCATGGGACTTCCAATTTCTCGATTCTACATGTAGCTTTAGGCTTAAGGCCCCTTCTTCCATGCCTGATCGATTTTGTCCAAGTAAGGATGCATTGTTTGTCACCTGTAAGTATGTTAAAATGACTGATTGAATTCACCTATTTTACCATCTCACCTTATTCTGAATACTAAGCGATATCTTCTTGCACTGGGTTCTTGAGGTAAATTCATCAAATTCAACGATTCCTGAATCAAGACCTTGGTGCGAACCTTGAAAGGCAAGCCAGTTGATCACAGACGCGCCTCCAGAACCACTGCCTGCTTCACGAACGCAGGCATCAAAACCAGATGTGGACACTGACTTCACCCAAACAGACGCTGGGTCGTGGATTTTGACATGTTCGCTTCCGTGGCTAAGCGTTGCAAACACCTTTACATCTCCAGAACCCTGGAACTGAGTATTGAAAGAAACAGTCTGGCAGCCATGGTTGTTTTGGGATGTGTCGGAAATATTCACCTTCCCCGTTTGAAAGACATACGCTTGAATACCATACATGCAAAAAAAAGTTAAAAGTATTTTAAAGTTAAATATTATTTAATTGCATTGAAGTAATACCCTGTCATCTGTATGCGTTCCCTTTCATCGACCTTGTATACAGTCATTGCACAGACAAATAAACCTTATTGTAACCACTCCATATTGACTCCAAGGGATTGCTTCATGTCCCAGTTCATAAATGAAATTAAATGGACCTTAACACAAACCTTTCCAAGGAATCACTTGTATTAAGAATGGATACATACAAAAAGTTAAGACATTTTTCACTGTCATCTACTTTCTTAAATTTGTGGGTTCGCGGTCATTTGTGACAGTTCAAAAAGGTACAACCTCCCTGAACATTTTCTAAATGCAACGTGAATAAATAATCAAGTTGTTTTACAAAATGTTTCCTCTCTTGCAGAAACTGTAAGAAATCAGTAGTCAAGAATCATTCAATAGCTTAGACACTTACATGTACCTGTAGTGAGCTGCAAAAATAACACCTGATGGGCGAAGTAACCGAAGACTCGCTTCGCAAACATTGTCTTCACTCTTGACTGTGCTTTACTTGCTGTATCTTACCTCTCCGGCAAATACTTGGTGGGTGTGTTTTGCAGCTCTATTTAAAGTCGACTGGTTTTGGAATGAGGAAGATTTTCTATATCTGAAACCTCTTTTCATAACGGGGTTGAAAATAAGTTAATCAGATTCAAATCAGACGTTTCAGCGCTGAACAGTGAGATTAGCTCCTTACAATGTTATTTTATGATTTAGCAGGAGATAATAACAATTGAATTAAAATAGAGTGTTTCCCGTCGTAACACCACCGCACTATTTACCACATTAAGCTTCTCAGTAAAGGAAACAATCTAACACGACTTATTTAAAATTCTTACCGCATCGCACAAGTACAAGTCTAACAAGAATTCCAATACATCTTCTTTAAAATAATAAAACGACAAGCAACGTGTACTCTTCCTAACCAATGTCACAAATTTTTCAACTTGGTACATTGCGTACGATTGCGTACCAAAAACAAGAAAAGTAATGAACAAAATTGCTGATCTGCAAAAAAGAAGGGTAATTGAAAACAAAAATAACAAATAAATAAAATCATAATATGCAAGACTATTTTCGTTCTTTCTTTCTTTTTTCTTTCAGGCACACAAACCTTTAAAATCAGATTTCGAGAAAATATGATCCTCCCTTGGAACAACACATTTCCGCGCTCAAGCGAGGTTAAAGGCCAGTCCAACCTCTTTAAACATTCAAACAGCTACTGTGCTTAACCAAATCTCCCTCACGAAACAATTGGTCCACAGTGTCTTTAGGGACCCTATACCTTACCGACTAGTTTTGATTTAAATTATTATACCTGCCTGCTCACAATACGATAAAATTTTAAGTATCAAGTTTTGTCTAGCGAAGTTCAAGAACAGTAAACTGACGTCACATTGTTACGATATTGTGTTGGAATTATATAACGGTGTATGACCACTTCTTGTGATCAAAGCTGGCGCAGCGTAATCAGGAGTCAAATAAAGACAGAAAAAAAAAACAAGAGAAAAAAGAAAGTAAAAGGGAAAAAGAAAAGAAAGAAAACACATGGAAAACGTCCTCTGAAAATCGTTTATTGCTCAGTAACACTTAAACCCATTTAAATAATCGAGAGGACAGTTTTCGTGAAAGGATGATCTTCTTGGGTTCTATGCACCTGCATACATGTATTTCCGCACTAAAGCGAGGTTATAACTACAATGAAGTTCTATCTTCCGAAAGAAAACAATCAGTCTCAGCTACAGTTTCATTTTTTGAACGTAGATCACACTATAAATTGGTGCTACTGAACAGTGCACTTTCACTTTTTAGGGAAAGTGCTTAGGTTTGTTTTAAATTACAACACTTGCCGGGAGGTCACGATACGTAAAATTGTTAGCACTTTTTTGACTAGGTTCATTACGACATCAAAACTGACGTCACGTTGGTATTATTTGAGTTACATGTAAAAATAACGGTGCATAACGACAACTTCTTGTTAAGAAAATAGACGCTGCGTAACAAAAATTCAACATCACAATAACAGATAAAATGTGGATCACTTCGTCTAACAATCATTTTAATTTGTTTCAGATTATTTAAACCCTTAAGATAATCCAGAAGTGTCGTGAAAAATAAAAATCTTCTATAGACATCGGCATTTCTTTGCTCAAACGAGGTCAAGAGAGAGTCACCTCTAAAAATCTCAATACAGCTTCTCGATAAGCTTCACGCAAATCTTCCGAGAGAAACTGACTATCTGTCTCAGTTACAGTTTGTAGACACCCATAAATTGCTGCCAATGAATGTCATTTTTTAGGGAACTGATACAGTTTTAATTAAAAATGCTAAACCTGCCGGGAGTTTCAAATACGTAAAATTGAAAGTTACGTCGAAAAAGGTTTAAGAAAGGTATAAGTTGACGTCAGGTTTGTTTTTAGAATTTCATGTAAACATCACGGTGCACGACAACTTCTTGCTAAGAAAATAGACACACCTTTAAACCAGGATTCAGAAGAGAACTTTCTCTCAGCATCCCGTTTTTGTTTAGGCACATTAAATCCCCTTTACAACATCGAGGACAGATTTCGTGAAAAGTTAATTTTCTCTTGGCAGCTGCACATTTCCACGCTAAAGCGAGGTTAAGGAGCAGTCTCCACTTAAAACTCCCATTACAGCTTATGTGCTTGCATGTATGCAAACCTTACAAAAACAAGAAGAAAAATCAGTCCCAGATAAAGTGTTGTTTTACTAAATGCGCATTCCCTATAAATTGATTCTTCTTAACAATCTGAACGTACCGCCACTTTTTAGTGAAAGTATTCCTCCACTATCTTTGATTTAAATAACTATACTTGCGGAGCTAACAATACTTAAAATTCCTTCCTCTACGATTTATCTACCAAGGCTCAAGGACCTCAAACTGACGTCACGGCGCTATTCGAGTTACATGCTAATATATGGCGCACGACTACTGTTTGTTAAGAAAATGGACACACCGTAACCAGGATTCAAAAGTAAATCAAAGCTTGGAAACTTTCTTCGAGTTATCTTTTTGTTTAGGTGCATTAGAACCCCTTTACATAATCGAGGGCACATTATTAAAGATAAGATGACCTTCTCTTGGTATTTGCAGGAGCCCATAATGTCTGTGCATATTTTCGCGCTGAAGCGAGTTTAAGGACCATTCACCTCTTAAGCTTTCTACGCAAATCCTCCTGAAGAAAATAATCGGTCTCCAATGTTTTTTTTTCTTAGTGCTTTGCTATTTAGTTTTTCGCTTAAGTTTTCATGTTCTGTTTATCAGTCCTTGGGGTAGGGATTTTGCTTGGGGATTTGTATGTGAGCCAACTGATTTCTTAAATTTATCATGTTATGGCAACAGACTGAGAGTGAAATACATTCATCATTGTAGTTGGCTTCCACTTAAACACATGCTATGGCAGCAGACTGAGAGTGAAGTACATTGGTAGTTGGCTTTCACTTCAAAAAACACAAAAATAGAATTGGGTAAAACCAGACTATTGTCCTCAAACCAACTTTCAGCTGCAGTCACACAAGAGCAAAGAATGTGACTTAGGTTGTATTCTCTTGCATCTTCAAATTCGATTAAAAAAAAACTTAAAAGTCATTGTTATTGATAACCTGTTACACAGGAGGTAATGTAAACTCCACCTCCACCAACCCAAGAAAAGGTGGGTATTTCAGGGCTTCTGATATTTCGCGCGGTCGCGGAGCCGCGAAATTCACGTAAATCCGCGAAATCCCGCGAAATTCACAAAAACACGAAAAATACCGCGACATTCGGTAGAAATCTTATCAAATACATGTCTGTACAACATATTTGAAACTTATTTCTGCTATAGGGGCTATTTACTTGCCGTAAACTTGCAAATTTATCTTGGAATTCGTCACTGCAAACAACGTCCCGAAACTACCAGGCGTCAAGTATGTTGCGAAAAACTGGGCACTAGCCATAATGTTAAAGGCCTTGCCATTGGTGCATTTCGGGAGCGTATTGTTGAAAGAGCAAATGATGACCTCTGTTAGAAAAACGTTAAAAATGCTGGTCTGATCAGCCCAAAACTGATCGATTTCTAGCGAAATTTGCCATGAAAATAACCACAAAATCGGCCCTTTTTGAACGATTGCTTTTTGTTGAGGTTTGCCCCAAAAACTCCCGCGAAATTCCCGCTAAATCGGCCGATTTTTCCGCGAATTTGTCTCAAAAAATCCCGTGAAATTTGACTTTTTCTTCCCCGACCTATCGGAAGCCCTGGTATTTGTTAGAAGTTTCACCCCAAATATAGAAAAATACTGCTGCCATCACTTCCTGAGATTATTTTATGAAACGGCTTTTAAAAAAAAACAAAAACAAAAAGAAAATTAGAGGCTTTAGAGGGCTTTTCTGTCACGGACATACGAAAATTTTAGGCCTATAATGCATAAGGGAAAGGTTTTATGACAGTTAAAAAATTTAAAAGTTGTACAATATGTACAAGGATTTGTATGGAAAAACACCCCACCGTGACTGAGGAGCAACAGTTGTCCCCATGTCCCCATACAGGCAAATCCTTCTAACTTTCACTGACTGCCACAGTCACTACTTTTGAAACACACAGCTGAAGCTTTACAGGGCACCTAATTTTAATATGCTCTTTCAGTTCCTACTAAAATCATTTTTCCAGAAAGAATTGCCTTTGAGCTCAAAGCATGGTTTGTTACGTGAAGTCAGCCTTGCATTGTCTTTTCTCTAAGAAAATAAAATCTACTGGCTTTACTCCACTGTCAGAGTCAAACCAAGCAACTGAGGCCATTGTTTCAATATTTCTTAACTACATGTGCACAGTATACATACATTTGATGTGAAAACAGAAGTCAGCAAAGGCAAGGTTACCTTAAGCATCTTTGTCCACAAAGAAAAATGAATATATCAAGCATAAGATTTTACGAAAATAACAACCTTTTTCCTAGTGTCT